TCAGCAGTGTGCCTGCAATGGTGTGGCTAGGCCAGCCGTGGGCAAACTACGGCCCACGGGCTGGATCCGGCCCGTTCGGCTGTTCTATCCGGCCTGCGGAGCCGAAAGAGCGGAGGGTTCTCTTGCTCTTCCCTCCGCTCCTTCACCAGCAGCAGTGTTAACATGGCAATGTCGGGAAACACGGCCGCAGCTCCTTCTGAGTCCAGTTTAAGAACCCATTGTGGCCCTCGAGTCAAAAAGTTTGCCCACCCCTGGGCTAGGCTCACAGCCAGCTACACCACAGGCCTGCCCTGTGCACCAATGAGCCCACAGCAGTTATGGCCAGGCCTCACAGCCATTGGGCCAGGGACCATCCTTGCCTGCCAGTGTGTACACAATAGGAGGCCACTCTAGTCCAGGGAACACCTGGCTCTGATGAAAAAGGGGATTCCACAACTGGGCCACACAGGACACCTTCTAAATAAGACCACTTTTTCAAGACCAGGAGATGTAGTTGACCCACCTAATACCTAGAAACAAAGAGGCAAAATTAAGAGACAAAAGACTATGTTCAAACAAAGAAACAAGACAAAACCCCAGAAAAAGAACTAAATGAAATGGAGGTAAGCTGTCTTCTAGATAAAGAGTTCAAAGTCATAGTTATAAAGATGCTTATCAAACTATGCAGACAAGTGTATAAACTCAGTGAGGACTTCAACAAAGAGACTGAAATTACAAAAAGGACTGGCCAGAACTGAAGAATATAACAGCTTAAATGAAAAATATACTGGAGGGAATCAACAGCAGGTCAGATGATGCAGAAGAATGAACCAGCAACCAGGAAGAGAAGATAGTGGAAATCACCCAATTGGAGAGCAAAAAGAAGAAAAAATTTTAAAAATGAGGGACCCCTGGGACAATATCAAGCATACTAGCATTCGTATCAGCGGGGTCCCAGCAGGAGAAGAGAGAAAGGGACAGAAAACCTATTTGAATAAATAATGGTGAAAACTTCCCTACCCTGGCGAAGGAGAAAAATGCCTAAAGTCAAAAGAAGCTAAAAAGCTCCCCCAGTGGGCTGGGAGTTGACCAAGCCAATGCTGGATGAATTAGATCAAAAGATGACAGAAGCTGAAACACAACGTCATGAGCGGAAGAAAGTGAATCTCTGGGGCCCATCTTCAGGATCCACCACTTGAAAACCTGATGATGTTTTGCCTGTTCTACAAGCAGAAAGCCATAAGCAGAGAACCATATGAATACAGGGTGGGCAAAAGTAGATTTACAGTTGTGAGTATGTGAAACAGAGTTTACCCTTATATTATTATTTATTAATTATTGTATTATTTTTCCATACGAACAACTACAAACCTACTTGTGCCCTACCCTGTATTGTATTAAAGAAGGCTAGGCAGACAGAAACCTGGTCTCAAAATGGAAAAGGCAGGGGAATGAGAACTTACGCTGCTTGCATGCACTCAGACATGGGACACCAGTGTGGGGACAAGCTGCATTTGCCAGTCCCCACAAGCAAGCTGGAAGTGGGCCGGATGATTAAATGCACACAGTACGGCTGCTGGGCTGCTCTGGCCGAGGCCCCCGGGCCCTGACCCCTCTCCACCCAGTACTTCGCACTTTGCAGGCTTCTGCCTGTCCTGCCACCCCCATCCCTGAAAGCAGCTCTCCTCACAGACTGGTGCCCCACGCCTGAGGTGGAGCATGGTCTGTGTGTGTGAAGGTGCTGGTGTTCATCAGCTGTGATTTGTAGAAATAAAATAAACCTTGGTAAAGAAAAGGAGTGAGCCTTGAAAACATTGTGCTAAGGGAAATAAGCCTGTCACAGAAGGCCACATGTTGTGTGATTTGTTTTATATGAAATGTCCAAAAAGGGCAAATCCTTAGAGGCAAAAAGTGGATTCATGATTGCAGGGTCTGGAGGGAGGGAGGGAGATATGGGGAATGACTGTTAATGGGTTTCCTTTCCAAGTAATGAAAAGTTCTAAAATTAATTGTGGTGATGGTTGCACAACTCTGCGAATATACTAAAAACTATTGCATTGTATACTTTAAATAGGTGAATGATATAGTATGTAAATGATATTTAAATAAGGCTGTATAAACACAACTGTGGCTCAGGGCAGTAATCAATGGGCCACATTCTACACAAAGGGCAGAGGCAGGACTTGGACTCAAGCCCTCAGGTCAAAGCTCTTTATCACCTCTTCTCGACTTACATCTCCATGTAAGATGCCTAACCCATGGGTTTCCTCATCACTGATGACCTAGCCCCATGATATTCACAGCATGGTCCACGAGTCAGCAGCATGGACAGCCCCTGCCAGCTGGTTGGTAGTGCAGAACCTCAGGCCCCATCCAGACCGGCTGATCAGAATATGCATTTTAACTGGAGCCACAGGGAATTTATGTCCACATTAAGGGGCTAATTACATCCCTCACTTCCTCATAAAAGTGCCTCAGAAGGAGTCGCCAACTATTCCTTGTTTGTGGTATGGGTCACCATGGTAGTGAGAAACACACCGATTTGGAATGAAAAGAGCTGGTTTCAAGTTCCAGCTGTGCCACTTCATTAACTAACTATCTATCTAACTAACTAATTCATTCATTCATTCAACAAGCATTGATTATGATACAGCAGACGAACATAGACATGGACAAAGAGACAAAATACCTGCCAGCCCTCACGTAGCTTACACAATAAATGAAGCTAACTAGCTCTTGCAAACTGAGAAAAGTCAACAAGTTGGCTCCTCTCTCTGAACCTCAGTCTCCAGGCCAGTGGAATGGGGATGATGATAATACTGGCCTTGGATGGTTCTGAGGACTACGTGAGAAAATACAGCGACTTGACAATTACATATCAGATTTTCCCCAAATATTTTTTAACAGAAGCAAAAAGGAAGTTTATGGCTAAAATATCTGAATTATTGCTTTGGTTCTAGCTGCTGGGTTTTCCTTACTTTCTCAGGGTGCTGAGGGCAGCTACTTCATGCCATCATGTGAGTGGGAAACACCTGTTTGAGGAGAGCCGGTGAGGCCCAGGAGCCCTATAGGTGAGCCACAGGAGATTACAGCTACGATTAGACTCACTGGGAGGCATGAGGTTGGAATTGTGGAGGCATTGTGTTTCATAGTCACTGAGCCACCTGCCTACTTTCTATGAGCGATGCCCCCTAGGATTTCCGATGGGGTCATCTAGCCTCCCACAAGACAAGCTCTCTGCCTCACCTATCACCTTGTTGCATTGTTAAGCAGGACCAAGCGTTTTTGAAGAAAGGGGGCAAATACCCATTAGAATCCGATTTTTCCACATTTAAGCTCCTGAGGAATCACTGTCGCTCACAGGCACTCTCTGCTTTCTAAGTCAGTAGCTCTCCCGGGTCAGCATGCTGTCCTGGAGACTTCTCCTGGTCTTGGTGGAGTAGATCATTTGGACTGGCCCACCTACTAGAAAACTTGGACAAAGTGCAAAAAAAAATTTTTTAAGTTTGATGGCAAGTTAACAGCAGTGAAGAATTGTAGGGTCCAGATTCAGGTGAGAAAGGACGTCTAAGGAGGGAAGGTTGACTTGCAGTCTCCTCTCCATTTAATTCATCTGCTACCTGCCATGCCGAAGAGGCAGAGACACTTGAACAGGTAATTCAACAGACTCAAAGTGTAAGCCACAGACGAGGAGAAGGATCTAAAAACCACCAAGGGCTCAGATTGAGACTCTAAAGGACTGCACTTTAAGGGTAAAGGAAGACTGAAAATTGACCATCTCCTGCAGATACTGAAGCCTCGCTTCAAAATAAAGAATCCCTGATTAGCCTGCGGTGATAATGGCATTCCTTATCTCCAGAAATTCACATAAATCCTCTTGTGGAGGAAGATAACATTGTCCTAAGCTTCAAACTCTCTACTTTTAGTTTTCATGTAAAATATCCAGCACAGAATGAAAAATAGCATGGAATATAGGGAGAGGGGGCAACGTAATCCCAAAACAAAAGAAACGGACACTAGAAACAGAGCCATGGAAGATGGTAGTGAAGTTATCAGAGTTCAACAATTTCTTAAAATATTCAATAATTTCAATAATTTCTTAAAGTACTCAAGGAAATAGAAGACAAGATTGAGAAGTTTTTCACAGTGGAAACTAATAAAGAGTCATAGAGCCCTAGCCAGTTGCTCAGTGGTTAGAGTGTTGGCCTGTGGACTGAAGGGTTATGGGTTTGATTCTGGCCAAGGGCATGTATCACAGTTGCAGGTTCGATCCTGGCCCTGATTGGGACACATTCAGGAGACAGTCAATTGATGTGGCTCTTTCACATCGACCTTTCTTTCTCTCTGCCTCTTCCCCTCCCTTCCACTCTCTCTAAAAAAAATCAATGGAAAAAATATCCCCCGGGTTAACAAACAACAACAACAATAACAAAAAGTGAGTCATAGAGAAGTTCTAGAACTCAGAAATGCAATAACTGGAATTTAGAACGTAGTAAATTAGACCTAACCAAAGAGAGAATTAGTAAACTGGAAGATAAATCAAATGAAATTTTCCAGATTAAAATGATAGTTATTCTGGTGAGTGTATATCGCTATTTATTGTGGTTACATTTGCATTTCCCTAATGACTGGTGACACTGAACTCCTTTTCATATGTTTATTGGCCATCTGGAGATTTTCCATGAAGTGCCTATTCAAACGTTTTGCCCATTCAAAAAATTGGGTTGTATGTCTTTTTTAGAAATACTAGTTTTTATTGAAATTTAACAAGTCATGGATACATGTTTTAATTTCTATGGCAATCTAAAAAACAACACAGTTATTTATAACTATGAAGCTAATAAAGGGAGGTGTGAAATCATAAAAACAACCATTTATAAAGTCAAGAAAGAAGAGAAAAGGCAACATGCAATGGGTAAGATGAATAGAAAGCACATAGTAACTAGATAGATGGGAATGTTAGATGAAATCACTAATGTGTCAGTCATCACATTAAATATAAACTAGCTCTCCGGGTGAAGATGGGGGAGCACGGTTACCGCTTTTCGTTGACTTCTTTCAGCCCATCTGGTAAACTTGTTCAGATTGAATATGCTTTGGCTGCTATGGCTGGAGGAGCCCCTTCAGTGGGAATTAAAGCTGCCAATGGTGTGGTCTTAGCAACAGAGAAGAAACAGAAATCCATTCTGTATGATGAGCGAAGTGTACACAAAGTGGAACCAATTACCAAACAGATAGGCTTGGTACAGAGTGGCATGGGCTCAGGTTACAGAGTGCTTGTGCACAGAGCTCGAAAACTAGCTCAGCTGGTACAGAGAGTAGCTTCTGTGATGCCAGCATATACCCAAGCAGGTGGTGTTCATCCATTTGAAGTTTCTTTACTAATTTGTGGTTGGAATGAGGGGCGACCATATGTATTTCAGTCAGGTCCATCAGGAGTTTACTTTGCCTGGAAAGCCACAGGGATGGGAAAGAACTATGTGAATGGAAAAACTTTTCTTGAGAAAAGATATAATGAAGACCTAGAACTTGAAGATGCCATTCACACAGCCATATTAACCCTGAAGGAAGGCTTTGAAGGGCAGATGACAGAAGATAACATAGAAGTTGGAATCTGCAGTGAAGCTGGACTTAGGAGGCTTACTCCAACTGAAGTTAAGGACTACTTGGCTGCCGTCGCATAATGAAGTGACTGAAAATCTGGAATTGCAGATAATCTCTATACTTAAACAAGTTTAAAGTATGTTTTGTTTTGCAAACTTTTTGCATACTTATTTCTACATGATTTAATGGATCAGTGTTTCTAAAATGATACTTATAACTCATAATAAACTGTTAAATCCAAAAATACATATATAAACTAAATGCTTGAGTCAAAAGACAACGATGGTATCTTTTTTGGCGATGAGAAAATGCGACTTTTTACTCAAATAAATTACTTCCTTGGCAGCATCCCCCATTTTTGTCATTGTCCATCCCCCATCGTCCCTCCCATTGCTGACAGACTGCTTTGGTTTGTTACTGAAAGCTAGTTCATCTGCTAGACAAATGCCCTTTCTGAAAGCAAGGTTATCAGTCCTACGTATCAAGAGCCTTTTAAAAAATGTGTGTTTTTAAAATCAGAGCTACCATTCTTGCAGTTCTCTTTAAATTCTCACAACTTAGTCCATCCTTGCTTCTAGAAATTGGTTAACATCACAAGCTCTGGAGCTACTTACATGCCAACCCTGACACTTACTAGTTGTGCTTCAATATTTATTTCACCTCCCTGGACCTCAGTTTCCTCATGTATATCCTATATAATGAAAGGCTAATATACAGATTGTCCCTTCGGGAGTTCAAACAACCGGGAGTTTGACCACTCACTATGACCTGTGCTGACCACAAGGGGGTGGCACGGAATGAAGGGGGTGGCCAGAATGAAGGAAGGCCTCCACCAGCAGCCGGAAGCCGGGGAAGGAAGGCCCACAGCCAGAAGGCCCCGATCAGCCCTGATCACTGGCCAGGCCTAGGGACCCTACCCATGCACAAATTTCATGCACCGGGCCTCTAGTAATAGTATAATGGGCTTTACCTCAAAGGTTTGTTTGTGGATTAAATAAGTAAATGTATAAATTGGTACATAATGAATACATAGTAAACAATAGCTGTTATTATTACTATAACATCAGAACCATTTTATTAGTACAACTCTCCCATCCCCTTTTTGTTCTGGCCCATTCCTCCTGATCCCTGTCAAGACTAAATTCAAAAGCTACTCTATTCTGTGACTCCAGTCCTAACCATTCCTACCATGCCTCAGCTACACACACCAATGTGCAACTCTAGCCCCCAGAGCCATGTGCTGTAGGCAGAGGTTTATATGAATTTAACTTACCACATATTGGAAACAAATGACCCACAAGGATAGGAAAAGAATGATTTCTTTCCTTCCTCTTTTGATTCACTTCCATGGAGTCACATCTCACATGTGAGATTCTAAAGTCAGCAAGTTAAGTCACAGTTATGCAGTCAAAGTGTCCCCTGACAACCCTTTCTATTTTCCTTGCAGAGCACAGTGGTTTGGTGTATACATCCTTGATTCTAGGTCTGTCACGCTGAAGGTGGAGACCCACAGGGCCCGTCAAAGAATGGGCCCAGAGGAAAGTCTACAAGCTGAGGTCGGGGCATCTGAGCCGTTCTTGGCAGAGGACTGGCCAAACCTAAGAAGAAATAACAGGAGTGATGGGGAATGGAGATGCAGGGATGAGAATCCCAGTGTCCTGCTCACCGGGAAGACTCACTCACTTCTGTCCCTGTCACGTTCACATCCTATAACACATGAACAGGCTTAATGTACATCCAGAGGATGAACCTAAATGGAGCTGTGTCCTGTGATGCAGGGTAAACTCTCAACCCGGGGAGTTAACTAAATGTGTGCCTGATGGAGGCTCCAGTGCAAATGGCTTTGAAGTCCTACTCTGTATCGGTCATTGAACAATCATTAAAAAAGTGCAGAAATGAATACGACAGTCTGCTTCTTCAAGTAGATTCTACTCTCTTTTGTGACAAGCAGTGGGGCGTGAGCAGGCGCATAGGTGGATGTTTCAGTAGAGACTCGCCTCCATTCCTAATACAGAGTAGGGCTCGGTCAATGTTGTGACTCAAATGAATGAATAAGAAAAGTGGAAGAATGAGACCGCCATCAGGGAAGCCCAAAGTGCACATGTTAACAGCTTCTGATTGAAGAGGCACATGGGGACAACAAGGAGCTGTTTCCTCCATATTTTGTGTCCGAACTCCACTTCGGGAACATCAGGATCAGAAATTATGGCTCCCGGTGGCCTCTCCCATTTCCAGGCAGGCAGCACCGCGCTCTGCACCATCCGCAGCGCTGTGAGCGTCCATAAATCTCCGCACTCCTGTTCACACTCCAGGGGCTGCGGCTGGTGCCCTGCTTTCCTCACTCTGAAGGAGGAGCCACTTCCCTGCTGGGCCTCGTGGTGCTCTCTGCAGCTCCACTCTTTCTTTAAATATGTTTTTATTGATTTCAGAGAGAAATAGAAACATCAATGATGAGAGAGAATCATTGATCGGCTGCCTCCTCCACGCCCCCTACTGGGGATTGAGCCTGGAACCCGGGCATGTGCCCTTGACCGTAATTGAACCCAGGATCCTTCAGTCTGTAGGCTGACGCTCTATCCACTGGGCAAACCGGCCAGGGCTGCAGCCCCACTCTGACTCTGTGACAGGTCTGGGAAGGAACTCCCCACTGCAAATGCACCACGGTTTACATGTCCCTCTGGGAGGAGACACTGCGAGCATCCCCTCCACACATGCGCGCGCACAGACACACACACACACACACACACACACACCAGTGCAGAGCCTCTGCTGACGGCCAGACACAATGGCACAAATGACGCCCCTGGAGGTCCTCTTTCAAGCCCCCAATTCTTCCAGAATAGGCCAGCCCACTGCTCCAACAGGGGACAGACTCGCCTTCCTGGAGATAAACCAAGCCCAGTGTGTGTGCGCGTGCGTGCGTGAGTGCGTGTGTGTGTGTGTGTGTGTGTGTGTGTGTGTGTGTGACTGCAGCCACACAGACACCTGCACCGTGAAAGACACACTCCCCCTAGGCTGGAACAGATGGCCTCCACGTTGTCCTCCTGGCTTCAGAACTGCCATTAGACCAACCCAAACCAGGAGAGGCCACATGTGCCCGTCAGACCAACAAAGATCAGAAGGAACGTTAGAGCACAGCGTCGGCCGAAGTGAGACAACCTTGCCACTGAGTATCTAAACTCATGCACCAACATCTAAAAGGCACACGGGCACAGCAATCGCATTCCTAGGTTTGTGTGGTACAAAGATGTGGGCGCAGCCTCACCGTGTCCAGCAGGGACCTAGTGAAATCATCATGGGTCACCTTCACGGTGGAACACGACGCAGCCGTGCTAAGGTGTGAAGTCAGTCGTGCTAATGAAAGCGGATGGCTGGAGATAAGCTAAGGGAAAGCAGCAGGTGTGGCAAGGGGTGTGAGCATAGAGGACACCTACGTGCCCTGGGTTTTTACGGATATGGATGATCTCTGGACGAAGGAAACGGGAGAGAAGTGAGGGGTTTTTAAGGAGAGAGACTCCCTCCCCCTGAATTTCTATCTGGTGACAGATGATTTATTCAAAACAACAAATATTGTCAACTGCACTTCACTATAACATTAGAATAGAGAAACCAGCAACCCTTCCAATACCTCTTCTCACCCTGGGTTCAGTGTCTGTCAGTAAGGCCCCTGGGGTCTTCAAGATGCCAGACTAGTGGGTTAGAGAATTTAGCTCTTGCCCGGATCTGCCTCTCCTGAGACCAGCGGGAAAGACACCCGATTTCAGCCTGCCCAAGCATGCTGGCTTGGGGGCCTCTGCTGAGATGGTGGCATGTTGTAAAGATACTTAGAAAAGTAGAGAGCTCTGTGCTGTGGTGGCCACAGACTGAAAATACAAATTCCCGCATGCTAGGGATTGAATGGTGTGTCCTGTCATCTGTACGTTGAAGCCCTGACTCCCAACATGACTGCATTTGGAGATGTGGCCTTAATAAGGGAGTGATTGCCGAGACCGGTTTGGCTCAGTGGATAGAGCGTCGGCTTGCAGACTAAAAGGTCCCGGGTTCGATTCCGGTCAAGGGCATGTACCTGGGTTGCGGGCACATCCCCAGTGGGAGATGTGCAGGAGGCAGCTGATCGATGTTTCTCTCTCATCGATGTTTCTAACTCTCTATCTCTCTCCCTTCCTCTCTCTGTAAAAAATCAATAAAATATATATTTAAAAAAAAAAATAAGGGAGTGATCAAAGTTAAATGAGGTCATAAAGTTGGGCCTGGTTGGCCAGGACTGGTGTCCCTATACGAAGAGGAAAAGACACCAGGGCGTTCATTCTTGGAGAGAAAAGGCCATGTGAAGCCACAAGAGAAGGCGGAGAGTGGCCTCTGGAAAAACCAACCCTGCCGATACCTTGATGTTGGACTTCCAGTCTCCACAGCTGTGAGAAGTCGATGTCTTTGGTTTAAGTCCCCGTAGGTGGCATTCTGTGGTGGCAGCCACTGCTGAGCTGCTATGTCCCTAAATCTTTGGTCTGGGACCTTGCTGATGGTAGTGATCACCTTCCAGGCCCCCACACCTCACTCCTCCCAAAATGCAAACACGAAGATCGACCTCGCCTGCAATGGGAGGGCACATCTGTCTGCCCAACGAGAGAAAACTCTTCAGGGCAACCAGCACATACTTCTTCTTTCCCCACTTGTCTTTCTCCTGCCTAGCCTCGCCCACTCCAAGGTGCCAGCACTGAGAGACAGAGGAGGACCCCCTAAACCAGCCTCGGCCAGGGGCAGTGTGGAGCCCAGGACCCCGCTAGGACGGCGAGAGAGACCCACTGTTGGCACGCCTGCTCTGTTCCCTCACCCTGGGCTCAAGGGTAGTGTCACAGGAACTTGACTGTGTGGAAACGGGTCACCTCCTCCATGCTCACCGTCTGGCGGGGCGGCAGACACCAGCCAGGGCCAGCAGTGCTGGGGGCACCCACAGTGCAGGGACGCCTCCGCAGCAGGCGAATGGAGGGAACAGCATTTGGAGCAAATCCCCTTGACAGAAACTTGCCCCAGGTCCAAAAGCATCACTGAAAACCCAAATGGTTTAAGTCTGGCAACTCCT